GGGCACAAAGGAAGACTCAGTAACTTCAAAAAAATAGGAATCATACCAAGCACCTTCTCAGACCACAAAGGACTGAAACTAGAAATCAATAAATCAAAATGCCCCAAGAATTACGTAAACACCTGGAGGCTGGACAATCTGCTACTAAATGAACAATGAGTCAGAGAAGAAATAAGGGACAAGATCAAAAAATTTATGGAAACCAACAAAAACTCAGATACAATGGTACAAAACTTATGGGACACCACCAAAGCAGTGTTGCATGGTAGGTTCATAGCAATCGGTGCCAATATCAAACCCCAAGAACATACCAATTGCAGGAATTAAATACACACCTACAGAAATTAGAGAAACAGCAACAAAATGACCCTTCAAACAAAAGAAAATAAGAAATCTTCAAAACAAGGGAGGAGATAAACTAAATTGAAATTTAAAAAAACAAAACACTATACACAAAATCAATGTATCAAAAAGCTGATTCTTTGAGAAGATAAACAAAATTTTCAGCCCACTGATTCGTTTGACAAAGAAAAAAATGAGAGAAAATGGAAATTAGTAGCATCAAGGATAAAAAAGGCAACATAACAACTGACACCACAACCTCAGAAGCAACAGAAGACCTGAACAAACCTGTAACTGATATTGATTGAATCAGTGATTAAAGATCTCCCAACACAGAAAAGTCCAGGTCAAGATGTTTCACTACAGAATTCTACAAAGAATTCCAAGCAAAGCTAACCCCAATCCTCCACAAACTCTTTAAAACAATAGCAAAGGAAGCAATGCTTCCAAACTCATTCTATGAAGCCAACATCACATTAATCCAAAAACCTGGTATAGAATTAACATAGAAGGAAAGCTCCAGTCCAAACTCCCTGATGAATAATGATGCTAAGATTCTTAATGAAATCCTAGCCAATGGAATAAAAAAAAAATCAGACAGATCATTAATCCAGATCAAGTAGGATTCAACCTTGCATGCAGGCATGATTCACTATTCCACAACTGAAGAATAGAAATCATATAATGGTATCAATTGACACACAAAAAAAACCTTTCGACAAAATCCAACACCACTTCGTGCTAAAAACCCAATCCACGGTAGGTGTAGAAGGAGCGATCCACAACATAATCAAGGCAATATACAAAAAACCCAACACTAGCATTATACTGGATGGAGAAAATCTGGAACCCTTTCCGCTGAGTTCTGCAACAAGACAAGGATGTTCACTATCACCATTGGTATTCAACATAGTCTTAGAGGTACTTGAAGAGGCCATAAGACAAGAAGAAGAAATTAAAGGAATCCAAATGAGAAAGGAAGAAGTCAAGCTTTTACTATTTGCAGATGACATGATCCTTTACACAGAAGAACCAAGAGAATCTACAGAGATTGCGAGAACTTATACAAGAGTTGGCAGAGGGGTAGGGTACAAACACATGAACAAAACACAACAGCCATAGTGTATGCAAACAGTGCCCTAAGATGGAAAAAGATCTTACCCACATAATACCATTCAAAATAATAGAGAAGAGCATGAAGTCTCTAGAAATAAGCTTCACGAAAAATGTACGAGATCTCTTTGAAGGAAACTACAGTAAGCTTAATAAAGAAATTGAGGAAGATATCAAACGAAGGAGAAACATCCCATGCTCCTGAATAGGTAAAATCAATATCGTTAAAATGTCTATACTACCAAAAGTAATATACACATTCAATGCAATCCAAATCCAAGTATCCAATATATTCTTCATAGAATTTGAAAAAAAATGATACAAAGTTCCGTGTGGAAACACACACACACACACATACATACATACACACACACACACACACACAACCACAAGGAGCCAGAACTATCTTAAAGAATATGAAGTTAACGAGGGAATCACAGTTCCGGATCTTTGCACATACTATAGGGCGGTGATTATTAAAACAGCCTGATACTGGCAAGAGATAGGGATGAGGACCAATGGAGTAAAAAAAAAAATCAAGCGAACCCACATAGATACAACCAAATAATGTTTGACAAAAAAAAACAGACGACAATGCATGCAAATGGGAAGGTCTCTTCAATAACTACTGTTGGGACAACTGGCTAATAGCCTTCAGAAACCACAACACAGACCTGCATCTTTCACCATACACTAAGATCAAAGCTAAATGGATAAAAGACCAAAACCTACACCCAGAAATCTTCAAATGTTTGGAAGAAAATGATGGACGCATCCTACAAGAGTCAGGTGTAGCCACTGACTTTCTAAATAGAACACCAAAAACAATAGCAATCAAATAACCAAAATTAACAAATGACACTACATCAAACTAAGAAGCTTGTGCATAGCCAGGAAAAAAATCAACAAAGAAAAAAAAGCGACTCACAGAATGGGAGATCTTTGCATACTACATAGGTGATAGGAGGCTTAACTCCAGAAAATACAAAGATCTCCGGAGAAATCAAAACACCAAAACAAACAAACCACAGAAAAAATGGGCATGGAAAATGGGCAGACATTTCACAAAGGAACAAACCCAAATGGCAAACAAACACATGAAAAAATGCTCAAGTTCCCTGGAAATAAAGGGAAATCCAAATTAAGACAGCAACGGGGTTCACCTAAAGACAATAAGGATGGCACACACAAAAACCACCAACAACACTTGCTGGCGAGGTTGTTGGGAAAAGGGAACACTTCTCCACTGCCTGTGAGAATGCAGGTTGGTGCAGCCTCTGTGGCTATCAGTGTGGAGAACACTCAAACAACTGAAAATCTGCATAGCATATGATCCAGCAATAGCACATGTAGGAATATATCCAAAACACCTGCTACATGAGAAACTTACATAGACCCAGATATTCATAGCAGCACAATCAATAATTGCAAAAACTTGGAAGCAACCAAAATGCACATCAACATAAGACTGAATAAGAAAGCTGTGGTTTATTTACTCCATGGAATACCACTCAGAAATTAAAAAAAAGAAAAGAGAGAGAGAGAGAGATGCAGTTCATTGTGAGCAAAAGGCCCAACTGGAAACCATCATGCTAAGGGAAATGAATCAATCACAAAAGGTTAGATACCCCACATGTTTGCCTTAATTTAAGCTATCACAGTCAACTCAGAAATGGTAACTTCAAATTGTAAGATTATTTCATTTTTTTGGAATTTTTTTATATACATATATATATTTTTAATTACATTGTATTATGTGACACAGTTCTATATAGGCACTGGATTTCCCCCCACCCATATCCCAACCCCCATCCCCTATGGTGGGCTCCTCCCCCTTGTTGTGCAACCACAGTTAAGGTTTATTTGAGATTCCTTCATTGCAAGCATACACCAAGGATAGATTCCAGCATCTCATTGTCTGGTCAATTTCAGCGGCTTCTTGGGGAGACCCTCCCAGTCCCAAGGCAGAGCCAACAGAGTAGAATCCCAGTCAATTAAAAGCCCTGACATAACATCAGCGACAATATATAACATTAAGGGATAGATTCACAAAGTATTGAGCAACCAATTTGTCAAAATTGGATGCATGGTCTTAACAACTTCCTGTGACTATTTCAATGACATTTCAACAATTGAGGTGCGAAACAGTCTTAGGAAGGGTGTGCAGAGAAATCTTCCATACCTTGGTGAGGAGTACTTACTCTCTGTGTCCTACCAAGTAAGGTATGTGTGAGTCCATGCTGACCAAGCCTTCCTTGTTGCTCTCTGCCTATCCATTTCAAGTTGTGTGTATGTGTGTGTGTGTGGGGGGGGGGGGGCTCTGGAGTGTCCCTCATGGTCATTGCAGAGAGGGTGGGGACCTAAAGTTGGAGCTAAGTAAGAACCAGAGATAGCTCCTCTCCCTAGCCCTGAAGGCAGTTTACTGTTCTACTGTTTCTGAAGAACGCTCAGGTTTCCTGGTTGATGCTCCGATGGCCTTGGATCCTATGATGAAGGATTCATCTTCTTCCATCCTCTGGGGTAGGTCCAAAGAGGCGGGGAGGATGTCCCCTGACTTCTAGGCCTCCGAAGGCATTCCTGTCCCCCGTGGTCTCTTTGGCCGTTGGGATGTGGTCTTTGGTACCCATAATGATAGCCCTTGGTGGGAGTCGGGGGGACTCCAGGTTTGGGATACAAGCCTCCTCCTGTCCACCTGCTCCACTCTGTGGTGCCCCACTGCTCTGTGCACATGACCTCCTGTTAATAGGTTGTCAGGGTCGCTCTTGATTTCTCCTATATGTAGTTTTACTGTTGTCTAATGCTGTCTTGAATCTATTGTCTCTACAAGTTACCTGTTATGTGCCTGAGAGGCTACACTACACGACTTCCTCACACGTTCACTGGAGATGGAAGGTTTCTTTGCTCTCCCACTCAGTTTATGAGTAGTAAAAGATTTTGAAAATATATTTGGTTATACAATGTTTAAAAATACATGGGTTGAGATCATATTAGGTAGAGGTCCAAATGGAGAGATTTACATCATTGAGAATCTTTAGGGTTGATTCATGTACCCCAATCCCTGAGGGTTCATCATGGAGCTTTCTAAGCTGCAATTATAGAAACCAAATTCAAGAGCTCCCTAGCTGGGTGGCCAACAGGTGGAGGCTAACGCCAAATGGTGCACTGGCTGCCCAATACCTGCTGCAGACACGCACATAGTGGCAGCCGCGTGCAATCCAGGCATGGGACACTACTTGTCCCGGGGCCTTCCAGCCCCATGCAGAGGCTGGAAGATTAATTCCTCAGGTTTAAGCTCCACCCCCTCATGGTACTGCCGCCAGCGCAAGCTCGCAGGTGAGCAGTGAAGCAGTTGGAGCTGCTTCAAAAAGCTCCATGGGTAATCTACGGCGCTCCAGCAAGCCAGATACCAGCTCAGGATGCATGCATGGTGGCGGCTGCATGCTATCCAGACATGAGACGTAATATTATTTCATCCTCTAACATCCTGTATGTCATGTAGCAACATAATGTTATGTAATCAATGAACCTACAACCAATCTGAGGCAGACTGCTCATGATCTTCATCAAACAACTTAATACTTAATGTACATTTTTTTTCGTATTTTTTATTATATTTTGACAATCTTTACAAAGTTAATTAGGGTAAAAAGACGTTCAAGGGCTACAGGTAAATGGGTAAGTCTATTAATTTTTCATACAGTTTCCTTCATGTTTAAAGAGGGGTATTAAGGGAGAAGGCAAACCCAATTTTCCACCTTCCCCAGGTCCCGGATGCAGGGTATGCTCTGAGGTTCTTGCTCAGGTGGTCTGATATTTCAACAGTTGTGAATCGCAGCCAATCTTGCCACTCCAAGCACTATGAGGTCTTTGAAGAATCCACTTGTTGGCATAGTCCATCATAAAGTCTCTGTCTGACCCATTTTTCACTGCCAAGATATAGCAGAGATGGTTGGTTGACCTGTTCTGTCTTCTGTGTTTCTTGGTTAGGGTTCTGAGTCCAGCATTTTGATTGAGGAGATCTTAAAAGAAACTTTGTCTGAGGTGTTCTCAAACTAGATTCTTACATGTGCTAGCAAGTACAGGGCCCATCACCCCAATCAGCAAATGCAATTGCTTGATTGGTTCTGTTTTGACTCTGAACCTCCACTGGTACCAATGGGTGTTGCAGTCCAACCTGTTTTTGCCCAGCACCTATCAGCCCTCGCATAAAGCAGTGGGAGCTGCAGCCTAGTTGGAGCGACCCAGAATAACCCCCACCAGGCGTGCCCCCTGTCCTTGTTTGCCAGTAAGTGTAGCAGTAGGCCAGTCTGTCCCACACCCCATTCCACCCCAGCCACTGTCCTAGATTTATGCCCTCCCGTGGGAGTGGTATCCCAACAGGGAGGAGCCCACTATTTCCCTCCCAGGCCTATCCCAATCCCAGATTATGCACTCTCCAGGTAGTTTTGTATTTTGACTTGACAGAACTAGCCCCGAATGCCAGCTTCTTGCTGCTGATGCTGTGGCTAAGTCCAAACAATCCTCACACACTCTAATTTTGTTTGCACCAGTAGGAATAATCAGCCTAACCTGGCTTTTACCTTATCTAGCCCACATGAGCTATACAGGTGTTGTAGCCCTGCCTAGTCTGGACTGCCCCCATCCCAGCCCACGTTTACCAGCGGGAGTAGCTGTTCAGCAATGGAATCCTCCCTTACTCCCCTGCCAGCACTGCCCCCCCCCCTTGTTCTCATGCTTGCTGGTTGGGCGTTGCGGTCACTTCCACTACAGGCAACATTTCCTTGGCAATCCATATTGTGTACTAGTCTTTGTTGAGACCGAACCTGGCTCGACCCACACTTTTCTGGTGCTTGAATTTGCCAGTGGATGACATGGACAGAATCAGCCTGGTCTGCCCCCGACACTTGCCAAAGATATGAGAGTGGGAAACTTTCCATGGCCTGCTCTGGGTTGTTTCATATCAAGTTTCTTCTGCTTAACTGCCTAGTCTGTGTCTTGCCAGAGGAATTACCCAGGTTCCTCCATCAGAACCTCTCCCAATGCCAGATTTTGCACATACTGGGGTCCTTGAGCCAGCCCTATTCAGTCCACCTACTGTCATAGCAGGAACAGTGGCTTTTCCTCACTGGCCTTCAATCCAAGCTGGTTCTTGTTGTTGGATGTTTCAGCCCAGCTATGTTTTGTCCATACCCACATATGGCTCACATATGGCTTAGTAGGGGTTTGGACCTTGCCTAGTCCATCGCACATCTACTCTGGTCCTCCAGGACACCAGAGAGCGTTAGGGTCTGGCCAGGCTTGATGCATCCCGGTCCACATTTGTGTCAAGGGAGACTACAACTGTTTCCCATTCAGAACGGAGCCCCCATTCCAGGTCACACACACCTTGGTGGAAACCTCAACGCAACTGGGTTGCCCCCTTAACTCCCCATTTGGGTCTGTTCCCGGCCATAGATCACATGCATGCCAGTGCTTACTCTGACTCAGCTTGGCACAGCCCTTCACCTGTTCTGACCTCTGCCTTATACACTGTGGCTTAGCGTCCCTGCCTTACGCAGACCAGTAGGTGCAAGAGCCTAGCTCGACATGGCATGTGCTCCCTCTTGGTCTTTAGTTTTGCTTCTGGGCCAAGGATTGCTCAGTCCTGCCTGATCTACCCTCTCCCATTGCCAACTGACACATTAGCCAGATGTTGGAGCTACTTGGACCAGCTGTCCGACCCCCAGATCTGGTTGACATGTTCACCAGTGGGAGCTAAGATTCGCCAAGGGAGTTTCCCAACTTCCTCCATGTAATCCCTTCCCAGACCCAGTTCTTCTACATGCCATTGGGTTTAGGCCAGTGCCTGGCACAGTCTGGCTTTCTATTTGTCCTTGTATGAACTGATGAATGTTGCAGCCTGTTGGGGGCACTGACCATTTCCTGCCCTGTGATTGGCCCTTTGCCCTGATTGGTGTGCCTTGGTTCTCTTTAAGTTGATTGGTCAAGTTTGACAGTTAAGCGGGGGGCTTGGCAGGGGAGAGGCTGGAGCGATCGTGGTTTACCGCCATTCACGATCGCAGTTTGCCGCCATTCACAATCGCAGTTTACCGCCATACAGGATCGCGATCTAGCGCCCATTCAAGTTCGCGGTTAACGATCAATTTCTCCATTTGACAATCGGTCAAGTTTGCAGGTTAGCGAAGATCAGCGGTGTTAGAAACATGGGCAATTTAATTTCTTCAACGCAGGAAGAAGCTTCCTTAAAAGGTGGAGATAGCAGTGAAGAATACTCAGACTCAGGCAGTCAGGCCGGGGCCTCTGGCGAGGATATTGATGAACTCGCGCAGAAACTAGAGACTGCTTCAATGCAATCAAAAAGGTCTATCTGGCAGCCGGCTCCCCCTCCGGGAGACCCCCCACTCACGCCAACTGCGCCGCCCTGGCAATGCCAGGAGCGAAAGGGAGATCGAGTATGTGCCCCCTCCCCTCGGGGTACAAGTTCATGGCGCGATTTTGCCGAGGCAGGCCAAGTGTTTCCAGTTACAGAGGATAGAACACAAAATCCCCCAGTTCGTTCCTGGGTCTCAATTGATTTCAAGTTAATTAAAGATTTGAAGACCGCTGTTGATTCCTATGGTATTCATGCCCCCTTCACCCTCGCGGTGCTGGAACAGATAGCAAGCTCAGCATTGACTCCTGATGATTGGAAAAATTTAGCTAAAGCCACCCTGTCCCCTGGACAGTATTTGGTCTGGCGGTCAGCCTGCCGCGAGTTAGCATTAGACACTGCACGCCATAATGCCCAAGCAGGCAATCCTGCATGGGACGTAGACGTACTCCTTGGGGAAGGTGCTCGAGTGGGACAGGAAAACCAAATAGATTACCCCGAGCCTGTTTATGCCCAGATAGCCACTATAGGGCGCAATGCTTGGAGGGCCCTTCATAGCAAAGGCGATCTGCGCTTTTCCAAATCTAAAGTGACCCAAGGGCCTAATGAGCCCTATGCGGACTTTGTGAGCCGCCTCATGGAGGTTGCATCAAAATTGTTTTCTGATGTAGAACAAGCTATGCCATTAGTGAAGCAATTGGCCTATGAAAATGCTAATAAATGGTGTCGTGAAGCCATACGCCCTTGGAAGCATAAGGGCTTGGATACATGGATTAAAATCTGTAGAGATGTGCATGATCAAGTTACAGCTGGAGTTATACAGGCAAGGGAACAGGCTAAAGTGATAATGAATGCTATGAAACAGGGGAAGAGGTTTAAAGGGCTTGATCAGATATGCTTCAGAGGCGGTAAACCGGGGCACTTTAAAAGAGACTGCCGCCAAAGAGAGCCCACTCATCTTCCTCCTCAGCCTCGGCTATGCCCGAGATGTAGGAAAGGGAATCAGTGGGCTAATGAGTGTCGCTCAGTGCGAGATATTTCTGGCCACCCCCTGGAAGGGAACTTTAAGCCAAAAAATGGGCAGAGGGGCCCAGCATCCCGGGGCCCCCACAGAGCATACGGGGTGCACCAGGAGCAGATAGAACAGACAACCAGGCAATACGCCGAGCCACGCCTGGAAGCGCAGGATTGGACCTCTGTGCCACCTCCCACATGGTATTAACCCCTGAGATGGGCCCACAGGCACTTGGTACTGATTTTCATGGACCACTTCCTAATGGCACAGTGGGATTGGTGTTTGGATGGAGTTCTAAGACCATGCAGGGCCTGATTGTTCACCCGGGAGTAATTGATTCTGATTATACTGGCATTGTCAAAGTTATGGTTTCTTCACCAAAGGGAATAACTGTTATAATTCCAGGAGAGCGTATTGCCCAACTGTTAGTCCTTCCTAGCTGTCATGAGAGTTGGCGGAGTCGCCATGCCACCCGTGGGGACAAAGGCTTTGGATCCTCTGGAGACGCCTTAGTTAATCTATCTGTCTCCCTCAAGGACCTACCATTGGCCACCCTTATGCTACGTGGCACCCCATTCGAAGGCCTTTTGGACACTGGGGCAGATGTCAGCATTATTAGGCAATCAGATTGGCCCAAAAAATGGCCCCTAAAGCAATCTAATCAAACCTTACGAGGCTTAGGAGTGGCTAGCCAACCACAACAGAGTGCATGTGTTATTTCCTGGGTGGACCACGAAGGTCACAAAGGGTCCTTTCAGCCTTATGTTTGTGCCATCCCTGTGACCCTCTGGGGCCGGGAAGTCTTAAGTGCTATGGGACTTCGCCTTAGCAATGAGTCCTACCAAACAGGAAGCCAACAAGCATGGAATATCATAGAGAATATGGGTTATTCAGGAAAGGGTCTAGGTAAAGAAGAACAAGGAAGAATAGAACCAATCGTGGTTAGACAACACCCAGGAAGGGCAGGGTTGGGTTTTCAGCTGGGGCCACTGCGAAACAACAGCCATTGAAGATTACGTGGATATTGAATGAGCCCATATGGGTGTCGCAGTGGCCCCTAACCTCTGAAAAGTTAATGGCTGCCCAGGAGTTAGTGTTAGAACAATTATCATTGGGATGTATAATGCCTTCAGTATCTCCATGGAACACACCTATCTTTGTTATTAAAAAGAAATCAGGGAAGTGGCGGCTTTTGCATGATCTTCGGGCTATAAATGCCATTATGCAACCTATAGGTGCAGTACAACCTGGTATGCCTTTAGCCACCATAGTGCCTAGAGAATGGTATCTTATTGTGATTGATATTAAGGATTGCTTTTTTTCTATACCTCTACATCCACAAGATTCAGAGCGTTTTGCCTTTACTTTGCCTTCTATTAATCATCAAGGCCCAGATCAGAGATACCAATGGGTTGCACTCCCACAAGGTATGATGAATAGTCCTACTATGTGTCAACTATATGTAGCTCAAGCACTGTGCCATGTAAGACGAAAGTTTTCTCGGCTTTGCATATATCATTATATGGATGACATTCTTGTGGCAGGAAAGCAGAAAGAAGAAGTGCAGGCCGCCTTAGTGTGCTTGAAGCAAGAACTGGCACGGTGGAAATTGCACATTGCCCCTGAGAAGATTCAAGAGGGCCCCAATGTAAAATATCTGGGACTACAGATGACAGCCCGTCAGGTTGCCCCATTACAGGTTAAAATCAGAATGGATGGTTTAAAGACCCTTAATGATTTCCAGCAGGTATTGGGACATATTAATTGGATCCAACCATATCTTCGTATTACCACCAAAGATTTAGAGCCCCTGTTTTCTATACTTCATGGAAACCCCGCATTAGATTCACCCCGAGAGCTTACTTTGGAGGGACGCAAGGCCCTTGAATTGGTCCAGAGTAGACTCCAAGAAGCTCAGGTTGAGCGTTGTGATCCTTCACAACCATTGTCTGTTCTGATTATACCTGAAAAGAATTCCTGCTGCGCTGCTATGGCGGGGGGCAGGGGTGGTTTCATCTGGATGTATTTACTCATGCAACCTTCCAAAGTGCTTGCCACCTTCCCTGAACTTATGGGCCAAGTGATTCTTAAAGCAGTGGAGAGAGCCCGAGAAGCCTTTGGTGTTTATCCTAGCTTATGTGTTACCCCTTATTCTAGAGAAATAGTTGCCAGTCTATGCCAAACGGTAGATATTTGGGCCATTTTGCTATCCTGCTTTTCTTTGCAATTTGATACGCATTATCCATCCCATCCATGGGTGCAGTTTTGCAAAGAAGTCCCATTGTGCTTTCCCAAGGTGGTTAAGGAGCGTCCCATTAGTGGAGCACGGCTTGCTTTTACAGATGGGGCTAAAGGTGGTACAGGGGCAGTTGTCTTGGATACCCAAATTTTCCCAATTGCGGTTGCTTCCTCTTCTCCACAAACTGCAGAATTGGCCGCCGTTGCTTTGGCCTTGCAGTTAGTGCCTGAGCCCCTGAATATTCTTTCTGACAGCTTCTATGTGGTGAATGCTGTTAAACGCCTTGAGATGGTAGAATATATTTTACCTCGCTCTACGGTGCATGAGGCCCTGTTTCAAGTCCGACAATTATTATTATCCCGAACCAATCCTCTTTATGTGGGCTTTATTCAGGCACATTCCAACTTGCCTGGATCTTTAGCCCAAGGCAATGACAAGGCTGACTCTGCTTCTAGATTCCTCTTAGCATTCTCCGTGGCGGAAGAGGCAAAGCGCTTTCACCAACGGTGGCATGTTAGCGCACAAACCTTGGTAAAGCGCTTCCCAATCTCTCGGGATGCTGCCCGCACTATTATTAGACAATGCCAAAATTGTGTCCCGTTTTTATCCCAGCCTTGCTTTGGGGTTAATCCCCGTGGTCTTATGCCTAATCATATATGGCAGATGGATGTTACCCATGTTCCCAGTTTTGGTCGCCTTTCTTTTGTTCATGTCTCTATTGATACCTGCTCTGGGGTTCTTTATGCCTCAGCTCATACAGGGGAAAAGGTTCAAGATGTTATATCTCACTGCCTTCAGGCTTGTGCAGCCTGGGGAGTCCCCCAGTGTTATAAGACTGATAATGGACCTGCCTATGCAGCCAAAGCATTTGATAAGTTTTGTTCTGAATTTGCAATTAAACACTCTACTGGCATCCCATATAATCCCACAGGCCAGGCTGTGGTAGAGCGTGCCCATGCAACTCTCAAAGCATTATTAATAAAACAAAAAGGGGGAGTAGGAGCCACCCTATATCCCAAAAGTCCTAAACATCAATTGGCTTTAGTTACTTATATTTTTAACTTTTTGATTCTGGATTTGGATGGCCATTCTGCTGCCGAACGCCACACTGTTGGCGCAGGCCCCTGCAAAGATTGGGTGATGTGGAAGGATGTTTTAACAAAACAATGGATGGGCCCGCATCCTGTCTTACGACGGACGCGAGGAGCGGTTTGTGTTTTTCCACAGGATTCTGATGGACCGGTGTGGGTGCCAGAACGTTTGACGCGAGTGATAAGAAAGCCGGAGCAAGATGAACCTGTGGACGTGGTGGATGCTGACCAGCCTGATGTTCATTCAGATACCGAGACGAGACAGCCAGAATCTCCAGCTAAAACTGCACCATAAAAGGTGTGCAGCAAATATTGACTCGCTGTCTAGGGCCTTGGAGATGGCCCCCAGAATGGACTGCTGTCAAAGTACTGTGACTCCTAGAACAGTAGCACCTGATCTTGCTGTGACCAATTTATTTCCTACCTGTTCAAATTCTGCCTTTGTGGGGTATAACTATACACATGGTAACCTGTTCAATCTGTTTCTGCTCAGTCTTGGAATGTCTGGGTACTTTGCACTAATAGGGGTGGGTGTTCAGATATATCAGCTTTTGCATTTATTGATAAGGTAGTGATAAGAAATTGTAATTATAGTAGTAATAGTTCTAGAATATGGGAAGAAAATGTTAAAGTTAATTGTAGTTGTGATGTTATCTATAATGCTATTTATGTATGTGTGCAAGCTCTATTTATGTTTATTGTTTCCATGAGTGCTAATGTTACCCTTTTGAAATGCTCTGTAGTTAAGTGAGCCCTTAACCAGTGTTGGAATGGTTCTGGCACTGTGGTGCTGGTATGCATTCCACAACTTATTTCCATCATATGGGGACCTCTTGTGTGCTTAGTCTACCTGGAATGTGTGTCACTCCCTCTATTGTCACCAATGGTTCCCGAGCACTGAATTTGTCCAGAGAATTATCCGCTATGCTATCCCCTAGTGGAAGCTGGTCCATACGATTCGATAATTTGACATAGGAACTAAGATCCCAAATTATAGCCATAAATAGCATAAAAGTAGAGATTGCCACAATAAAGCAATGGACAAATTGCATACTAAAGGATCTTTCCTTTGCACACCAATGGGCTGGTATAGTAGCCCTGGGCCTTATATCATTCTTTGGGGTCTGTGGATGCTTCATCCTTGAGCACAGCGTCAGCAGCAGTAACAGCAGCTGCTAGTGCAAGCTGTGCTTGCCCTTCACAACAGATAATCCCTAAAAGTCTGGCTAGGCATGCTGGACCGGTAGCCAGAGACGGGTAAGTATCCGATATGGCTTCACCAACCTAAGACAGGTGCCATGTTCCTAGCCACGTGGTTAGCCCATGATGGGTAAGGGGAGCCTGAACTCGGAACACCTAAGACAGGCACGGTCCCTTGCTTAATAAAACAAGAAGGGGGAGCTGTTGGGGGCACTGACCATTTCCTGCCCTGTGATTGGCCCTTTGCCCTGATTGGTGTGCCTTGGTTCTCTTTAAGTTGATTGGTCAAGTTTGACAGTTAAGCGGGGGGCTTGGCGGGGGAGGGGCTGGAGCGTAATGGTGATAACTGTTATAACGGTCACAACGGAGTTAACGGAGAAAAACGGAAGATCAGAATAAAGGCACCTTGAAGACTCTCTCAAGTGTCGGGTGATTTCTTCCGCGGGACGGGAGGACCCCCGATAGCAGCCTGGCCCACCCCACACCCTAATCAGGATGCACATTTGAGTGCTGCTGCCCTGACCAGTCCAGACTCTTGGGGGTTGCTTTACCCTTAATTGACCTGTGGTCTCACCTAGCTTAGTCCATCACCACCCCAACTCTTGAGCTAACTAGTGGGGCTAGAAGTTCCACAAGGTTTGGCCCGCACATCCCTCACAAAATCTACCCCCAGTTATTGTTCTTGAGTACTAATTAATGTAATGGCTTGTTTAATGTGACCCTTCTCCTGATCCATCATCATCAAGTAACATGATAACATTCTGTAGGACAAGCCCCAAACCATAGCTTTGGCATGGACTGGTATATGGTGGTCAGCATTGTTCAGTGATTACAAGTTTTACAAAGGAAGAGTTAGTGTCATTGGGAATCTTTACCAATGCTTCATTTCCTAGAACAATTTGTTCAACCTGGAGCTAACAAAGCAGCAACTCAAAGAACCAAAACCCCAGAGATTTCCTGCTGGGCGGCCAGCAAGCGGAGCCTGCAACCAAATGCCATACTGCCTGCCCGAGGACAGCTCACCATGTATGTGCACATGGTAGCTGTTGTCTGGTATCCAGGCATGAGACGCCCCATCCTGAGACCCACCAGCAGCCAGGAGGTGGTTAGAAGTTTAAATTCCTAGGCCCAAGGTTGTGCTCCTCCCCAATCCCATTCACCACCCAATGAAGGCAGAGGGCAGGTCGCGGACCTGCGCAGTCACAGAGACCTCCCCCTTCAGTGTACTCACTCCGAAGGGGGCAGCCTCCATAGCCCAGGCAGGCCCAGGGACAGCTCACCACGTGTACATGTGGCTGTTCTGGTATCTAGGCATGAGACGCCCCATCCTGAGATCCACCAACCTAATGTACTTTTTAGACCCTATGCTTCTCAGTAGCGGGGAGGGAGAGCAGAGAAATCTTCCATCTCCCTAGAATATGAGAGGCAGATGTAAAGCATAACCTATCAAGAACATAACAGATAGCTTATAGACACCAGACTCAAATCAGCATTAGACAATAGTAAAACCAGAAAGGCATATCACAGGGGTGGAAGGGCATATCAAAAGAGATCCTGACAACCTTTTAACAAGACATCATATGCACAGAGCAGGGGGATCCCAGAATGGAACAGGTGGACAAGAGGAGACTTGTATCCCAACCCTCAAAACCCCTGGATCCTCACCATGGACTATCAGTATGAGCACCAAAGACTACATCCCAACCGCCAAGGAGACCACAGGGATTAGGGTATGTTCGAAAGGTAAGTACTCTGAGGTCATCCACTCACATTTGAAACTCCCACATGGAATACATGAAGTGCAAATCCCTCCTCGCAGAGCCCAATGTCATGGGAACAACAGCAAGGAGCCCTGAGCGGTCTACAGAAGCAGAAGAACAATAAACTCCCTCCAACACCAGGGAGAAGAGCTTACTCTGGTCCTTACTTAGCTCCAATAATGGACTCCCACCCTCTCTTGCAATGACCTTCAGGATCGCCCTGGAGCTCTCACCTCCCAATAAAACAAAACAAACAAAGAACAACAACAAATTAGAATGGACAGAGAACAAAAAGGAAAGCTTAGAACTAGCCAAGAAATGCTCAGTGGGGATTCACACATACATTACTACGTAGGACACAAAAATAAACTACTCCTAACTAGGGTATGGAAGATTTATCTGCACACCCCTCCCAACACTGTTCTATGCCTCAAGTGGTGTCACATGCCTTGCTAAAGGTATAAGCTAGTTTAGACTATCCTAAAATCTGCCAAGTACAGTAAAAAAATATGCTTCAACACAATAAACTGCTAAATACTAAAACAAAATAGAGACAGCTGAATAGTATCCTACAGCCAACTTTAGAAGCCAGTTGTATACAAACTATAATTGAAATGTGAATGAAGTAGTCACAGGATGTGGGTAAAACTTGCATTGTCTAACACATCAGTCACTCAATACAATGTTAATCAACACCATAATGTTGGAAACTGTTGCTGATGTTATGTTATGGGTTTTAATTGGACGGAACGATATACTGCCATCTATGTCTCAAGACCAGGCTTGGTCTCCCCAAGAAACTGTTGAATTCAGCTGGGCAATAAGATACTGGACTTTATGTACGGCACATGCTTGCAATGAAAGAAGCAAGACTGGATTCGAACTGTAATCCTGCAATAAGGTGGAGCAATCCACCATTTGGGGAGGGCACGAGTCAGGGATGGGGGAACATCAGAGCCTATGAAATGTTATAAAATGAAAAGAAATAAAAATATATATATAATAGAGAGAGAGAAAGCTTATAACTGTCCTGATCATAGCTGCCCTGTTATTTCTGGCAATGGCGGGCATGGGAACAGGGGTTGCATCCTTAACACCCAGACCAGAGAGATCAACTGCTTAGGAGCAGCAATTGATGAAGATCTGGTGTATATAGTATGATCCATTACCCTTTTAGAGAATTCTCTCACCTCCATATCTGAGCTAGAATGATAGGGGGTTGGATCTGTTGTTTCTAAAGCAAGGTGGTCTTTGTTTTGCCCTGGGAGAAGAGTGTTGCTTTTATGCAGACCACACTGGGGTAGTGAGAGACTCCATGGCTTAGCTCAAGGAAGGTCTGGCCCAGAGAAATAAGGAAGGAGAATTCCAACAAGGGTGGTTTGAATTATGATTCAACAGGAGCCCATGACTAACTACACTATTGTCCTCCATCTGGAAGGGCCTATAGTCATCCTAATCCTATTGGTTACAATTGGGCCCTTCAGGAAGAGACTAATTAAATTTGTAAAGGACCATATCAGTACAGTCCAGTTGCTGGTCCTCAGACAGCAGTTCCAGCAGCAGCCCCAAACTGAGAAAGATTCCTCAGTATAAAAAAGAAAAGGGAAGAGAGGTAGAGTGTAGATAAACATTAGAATGCCATGTAGTAATGATTGTATATTAGTTTGCTAGAATGGAATTTTTTGTTGGGCAGTATGAGATTCCTTTGTGCTGAAATAACTGCTAGTTTGCTAGGCCAGGAGATGCCTGGATTTTCAGAGGATTCTGGTTTAGTGATAAATTTGTTCTTTGCTGCCTTGCAGCTTTGCGAACCCAGGTGCAGGCTGGCAAGGGTGCAATTCTTCTCTGGTCCTAGGGACAGGAGGAAGATAATGGTGTGAGAATGGGATGAGCCATAAAGATACATTGGGCATGGGATAGGAACAGGCTGCCTGAACCTGAAGACCATAAAAATAAACGTGTCTAAGATTATTATTTTAATGTATTTTCCAGCCCAAAAGGTCCCTATATAATCTTTCTTGGGCTCATTCGGGGTCCAACCGCCCATCTTGGTTGGCCTGTATGGCCAAAGTATGGTCTGACCCAAGCATGCTAGTGAAGTAAACTCTGTTTGCTATTTGCATTACCAGGAAGACTTTGTCATTCTGTGGGGGTTGACTAGTTCGCACGCTAAAGCTCAGACTCTAACATGGGAAAGTGTGATCTGACCAGAAAATGCATCTGCTCACATCCACAGAGGCAAGGCATGAGGAGACATCAGGCTAATAGTGCCTGGCTGCTTTCTGACTGCACAGCTAGGCTCATTGCCATGATGCTTAGCAGCACCCCTCTGGGCAAACACCTGCAACTCTGATGTTGACATTCATCAGCTCAGAACAGTCAAAAGCTGCTGAGATCCCTCCAGGTGAGTTGGTTGAAAGAGCATACAAAATGGCCACCCAGATCAAGAGTACAAGGTTGGGAGCCAGACTTCCCAGCTGCTGCAAGGGTGGTGGCTCCTGAACAAAGACAGAATGCATCCCTCCCACTAGGATCAGCCCTGTGATGACCCCAGGGGTTGTGCGTTGGATGTCACTCCCCTCTGGCCTTAATGTCTACCTTTGGTCAGCTTAAGCTACGGTTCTGTCCTTTGTTTAAAAAATAGTGTCATTCTTCTCAGTGCATTTAAGTGTACAACACCTGAAACAATTCACATTGAAATCCAATTCATGTAATTATATTATCATTTCCAAGTCTGCATTGTGTTACCTTTGGTGTGGTTACTGTGTCTCTCCTGCTTCAATAATTCAATGCTCTGAAGTATGTCTCTTACCCATTTGAGAGCCTGGCCTACTTGAGCTGTCATTGCTCTTGGCTTTGCTCTTCCAATCTCAGGGTGTCCTCTCTATCTCCTGCAGACCCCAACACAATCCTCAGCTCTCCTCAGCTATGAGTGAAACCTACAAACATAATGTTGAGTAAAAAAAAAAAAAAAGAACAGAAAAGCAAGATGTGGAAGAACGATATACCACAGAAAGTTAATAAAAAGTTTTAATCTCCATGTACTTGATTTCTACTTTACTTGATAAGGAGAAAGATGAGTGGGGAAAGGAGGCCTTCCATCAAGTGACTCATGCATCATATTCCTACAGCTTCCAGAACCCAGTGTGGGTCAGCTGCATGGCTGCTGTCACTACCTGCTGCCTCCCAGGCTGTACAGAGCAGGAAGCCAGAATAAGGAGCTCTGATACAGAAAGCTTTGCCACCGTACCAGACACCCGCAACTTCAACAAACTCCAAGGCACACAAAAAATAATATAACTCAAGCAGGATCTTTTTTTTTTTTGAAAATTTATAAGAAACTACATGAAGTTGACATTAGGTATGGTCATTTGTCACTTTGTCATAGAGTTATGTTTTGAGAAATATATCCTTAAACAATTTTGGCATAAACAAAATGGTACAATATCACTAGAAGATATAATCTATAGAACTATTTTATATGACTGTAAAAGATAATAAAATAAAATAAGTACTAAAAGCTCATCAGTATCCTAATTGCAGTGAGCAGATTTTTGTAGGCTTTAAACTTTTATTTGAAAGGCTGATTTTTAGTTACAAAGAATTGTAGAAAGATTTTCCTTCTGCTGGTTCACTTTCCAAGTGTTTGAAATGGCTAGAGCTGAACCAATCAGAAACCAGGAGCTAGGTGCTTCTTCCAGGTCTTTCATGGGGGTGGAGGGTTCCAAGGCTTTTGGTCATCCTACTCTACTGCTTTCCCAGGCCAGACGTAGGAAGTTGAATGAGAAGTGGAACATCCAAGAGCTTAGACTTGAACTGATGCACTTGGTGTGCTGGTGCAGCAGGTGAAGACTTAACCCCCTGTGTTACTGTGTCAACCTCTAATCAACTGACTTTACAAGAGGCAGAGTATTCTTAATGAATCAAGTGAGCCCAGGGTAAGCAACATATGCTAAATAGTGAAAGAGGAAGATAGCAGAAGTAACCTGAGAATTCAGGCCTGAGAAGGACCCCACCGGGCATATGTGGGTTTGAAGGCAGGCAGGAGCAATCAGCCAAGGCTTATGTGGCTGTCACAAAGTGCTGAGAAGAGCACACAACAGCACACAGAATCTGGGTTCTAGAGAGAAAATGGGCACCTGGGTTCCACAGCCATTTGGAACTGAATGTCCCCTAGTAACCAGAGTGAGCCTGAGTAGAGAACAATGCATGAAGTGCGAGTAAGAGATCATGATTATGAGACATGCTGAGGGAAGATGAAGGAGGATTTTGTAGGGTAAGTCACAGATCTTGTCCGGATTTCACAGTTTGATTGTTTCAGGAATGTCAGCTCTTGAGATAGAATACATTAGGCTGCTAGAACTACTTCTAGTCTGACATCGTTTTGCAATCAAAGTAATTCTGGGGAATGCTCTCTGTGGCCTCCTCCTGGATGTTGGCAATGTAGTTTGTGTTAAGCCTCCCAGATGCTGAGTTTTCTCTTTCAAGGAACAACTTCCTTCCTCTTAACGTCCATAGAAATAACACTCTCTGAGATATGTCAGCACAGCTTGTTTTGACCTTGATCTCAGTTTTACTACTTCTCTAGGACAGAAACCCACACATTTTTCTGGGAAGGGCCAGTGACTACTTCAGGCTCTGTCTGTGAGCCC